GGGAATTAGTATTTGGAAGAATTGAGATGAAAGGGAATTAGTATTTGGAAGAGTTGGGATGAAAGGGAATGAGTATTTGGAAGAATTGAGATGAAAGGGAATGAGTATTTGGAAGAGTTGGGATGGGAATTAGTATTTGGAAGAATTGAGATGAGCGGGAATTAGTATTTGGAATAATTGAGATGAAAGGGAATTAGTATTTGGAAGAGTTGGAATGAAAGGGTTGGAAGAGTTGGAAACCACATGAGAACTTTTGGATGCGTGTTCATGTTAGATTGATCCATGGGTTGTTTTTCCAAGGGAGCTTATGGGATAGGATGTGAACTGATGAGGGAGATGGAAAGGGTGGTGAGAACCAGGAAGGTGAGGAGATGAAGATCTTGAATACTAGCAAAAAAGAAAACAATAAAGAATTACAAATACAAAGTACACTATATTTTTTCTGGGGCAGCTGGGATTGATTAATAGGGGGAGGTGGTCCTACTATTGGGGGGGTAGGGCCTTTGTGAGGGGTACCCTTTGTGAGCTTGAACAAGTTAAGATGTTGATAGAGCTTTAATAAGGGAAAATGAAAGACTTTTGCTAGAGAGTTTTTAGGTTTTTGGGGGATGGTTGGTAGCATGAGACCTGAGGAGGAGCCATCAAAAGGATTGGTGAGCAGGATGAGGCAGTTGAGAGGTGGTGGTGAGAATCAGGAAGATGAGGAGATGAAGATACATTGAATACTAGCAAAAAGGAAAATAATAACTTTAAACAAAACACAGATAAAAGTATCCAAGCAGCTGGGATTGATTAATAGGGGGGAGGTTTCTGCACAGGAAAAATACTATTAGGGTGATGCCAAGGTGGAAATCTAGGTCTTCAATTAGTTTAGTATTGGAGGGGTCGAGCTGGGATTGATTAATAGGGGGGTGGTTACTTAATCCTAGGTGCGCATTACTCGGAACAACACACCTAGACTCCCAAGCTATCATTTATTTGACAAATCAACCCGAAAGCATTCATCAACCGTGTTGAATTTTTGCATTGCTTTCTGTCGAAATACGACTTGTTGGAAACCCCTATAGGGCCTGTAGGGCACGTTTTTGAGCCCGCCCCCATGCAGCGGCTGGAGGCATATTTTGATAGATAGTGGTATTATTGCAGATGAGTCCAAACCTGTGCTTGGGGTTTCTTTAGATCACAGCCGTGCTACCCTGCTACGAGCCACGGTGGCCACAGCCAAGGTTCAATGTTGAAAACCTTGCCTTTCAACAAGAGCAAGCTGAAATCACTGCAATGGCAGCTACTCCGGCATGTTTGCTTTCTTCCGGGACTCCCACATGGGTTCCCACAGCTGTTCCAGTTTGTATCGGGGTCAACAAGGCACACTCTATATATAAGGTACACTTTTGGATGGCGTGATTTGTATTGATTTGGGTGATGAGTTGGTTTGAAATCCATGGGCTTGATATATCAAAGGTTTGATGTATCAGATTACGATAGGAAGTACACTCCCTGGAAGTAACGATCATGGAAGTGGAGAATTGCCGCAGGGGTTTCCCACTTCCATCTTAGTTCGAGGGAGTGTATGGGAGGGAAGAAACTCCTTTCCGGCCCAGGACCTGTTGTTTGGGTCGTTGGGTGAGAGAACACACAGCACAGCTTTGCGCTGCGGCCAGGTGAATGCCATGGCTGCTGGCCACAAGACATTGAAGGCCATGTCTTACCACGTGCTGGGGTGAAGCCCAACGGATCAAAGCCCCCCAACCACTGGGACGGGGGGCCGTCCATCTGAGAATTCCAAGGTGAGAGTGGTGGACTAAAAAAGCCTACCAACGGTCGGTCTTTCAAGGGTCCGCCTATTCTGAGAGACTTGGATAATTTTGAGAGATCCATACATTGTAACAATAAACATGTAGCTGGGAATTTGTACGTATGAATTTGTCCTGCTTGGCGTGAGCGTGTGGGCTTGTCTGAAACTGGGGCAACCCACCACTCACCGTCACAAAGGCACATCGCAACTAGAAGGAGAAATTGGGCTCACTTCTCACCACGAATCTTCTTGTTTTCAGGATCAAACCGAGCAAGTGGACATTGGCGCTGTGGACAAACTCATGGATGACATGGCCGATTTGCAGGATGAGTCATGGCCTCGGCTCTTGGGGTTGCAGTTGACGCTTTGACGAACCAAACAGCGCACCACGGTCACCCATTTGCCGAGGATGAAGGCCATGAATGAAGCCTTGGCACAAGGGACTATGGTGGATGGTGCTGCGGATGACGAGTTGGCGGCAGAGCCCTGGGCTGCAGAACGATCGAAGGGACTATGGATGGGAGCCCCCGGTGTTTTATACTGATATTGTAGAAACTACAGAAGATGGTAGAAGGTGTCCGAAGTGTGTTGCTTCCACTCCAAGATGCATCTTTGCAGTAGCAAATCCATCATGAATAAGGAAATCAGGCTGTTGTTTTTCCGGGTCATCCCACCTTCCTAATCATCCAGGTCATCATGCCCCGAACTTCCAGGATCCTGTTGTCCATCTTTGACAACATGTGACAACATTTGTCAAGGTTGTTAGCGCAGGGGTGGGGAGATAGTTTTTAAGCCACATTTGGAGGTAAGTTGATGTTGGTCAGTTATATAGTTGATCGATCAGCTAGTTGATGGTTGGTTGCTTGCTTGCTTGCTTGCTTGGTTGGTTGGTTGGTTGGTCGGTCGGTCGGTCGGTTGGTTGGTTGGTTGGTTCAATTTGTTCTTGGGTAATGGTTGATGTGTGGGTGACCGTTACCGGACGGTGAATGAGAAACAAGAGAGAAAACAAACAGGAGTTCTCCACGGTGGACGGGAAAACGACTATCGGACTATCGCTGCGTTTTCACAGCGCGGCGATGATCGCCGCATCTCGCCATCATGGCGCGGCTAGGAATTCGCCAAGCTGGAAGAGGCGCGTGACTGAGCGAGCGCCATTCGGGTACGGGGGCGGAATGGAGCGGTTTGAGAGGTTTGCCATGGGATAGCTGTTGATTCGTTGATAGGGATGGTTGGTTGACAGAGCTCGGGAAGTGGCCAAGTGCATAATTATTAATATGGCCTATGGGCCTATGCCCATAGATATATAATTATATATATATATATTACATTGTATTATATATATAAGTCTACTCAATGTCAAAGATATACATCCCGACAGGTGAAAAGGGTCAAGGCACATGTTTCCGACATGTACATGCTCAGCTGAGCGTGTATTGTAAACAATCTATCAAGCTCTGATGGTCGCTTTGTCCATAGCGGTTTGTTTTCAGCAGATGAAGCAGCTTCCAACCATGGGCAATACGGTTTGGAGGGCTCGTATCGGATGTAGCATGTCATACCTCTTTCACTCATGTGGATCCGATCCAGGGACCTGGACCTGCGTGTGACCCTGCGTGTAGCTGCGTGCGGACTCATCGTGTGACGAGAACAAAAACGCCAAAAAAAAGGAACAACTCACGGAATGCACTGAACAGAATATATCCTCTCACTTCCATCCTTCTCATGGGGTATCAAGACTGCAAAGCAACAAGTGGCCGACTTAGCAGACCCAGGCCTTTGGACACATGCCTCCGGGTTTTCCAAGTGAGACCCATAGAATCCATAGATGATGGCATTATTATAATTGCAACTGCAGTGCCAAAGGTCTCCTTGAGGCAGCTTTAAGCCTGCTGACATGAACCAGCCAAACACCAATCAAATAACTAATCAACTTATGTAAAGTGAAAAGCGCCAGAATCTCGTTCACAGCCGCTTCATTTTCCTGGTGAGGCATTACCACAAATTGTTTATGAGTCAGGAAGCAGCTGCCATGACCTTGGCTGGAGCGATGGGTTCCACGGAGAAACCTGTCGGGGCAGCCAGCGGGCTCATCGTGTCGGAGTTGCTATAGCACCTGCTATGCCAAAGGACAGCCCGCTTGTTTGATTTCGAGGAAGAACAATTTCTCTTGTGATACCCATCCCCTGAGAGCACCAATGGATATGCTTGAGAAATGATCATGTACCACCATGTACCACCTGAGCACCCGGAAATACGAAGGGATCCTAACATGTCCCAGGATATTCTTGTTGCGAGGTTTCAATCCCTCTTGAGGTTCCCAATCTCTCAGTTTTCCATGCACGAAACCGGAACACAGTCGACACATGGCCGTCAACTGCACCGGTCGAAGTGGAACTTCATGGATCGAACACCCGTGCAGCGAGCCTTTTCGTACGCAAAAGAAGCGAAGGAATTTTAACCTAAGAAAAAACCATCCAACATCATCCCACCATCCAACGTCATAACATGTCATAACCAGCCCAACCAATTTGGTCACGACCAGCCAGCCTGGTAGAACGAATTCCAAGGCCGCCGAGCCCGCCGGCGGCTACGCCGCGCCCTCGGCCGCCGCGGCACCGGTGGGAGAGGCTTTGCCCAGCGCGCCACCCTAGAGGGAGACCTGCGCTACGCATAACGCGCAGCTGCGCAGTCATCGCCCCCTTGGGTTGGTTAATGATCATGATGAACAGAGGTAAGACCCCATAAGTGTATATCAAACCGACCTCATTGAAGCAGCTTGGCTTGTCTTTTGCGGTGAACGGTTGTCTTGCAACTCCGGGCGCCGGGATCACAGAGGCCCTTGCGGCATTGCTTCATCGTTTCACTATTTTCGGGGCACTTAGCAATAGAGGACTAGGCTGAAATAGGGACTCTGGAAGCTGTTTGGCTTATGCACAAGACGTTGTTTCGGGTGGGTGTTTTACTTGGCGGTCTACCAAATTCAGAACTTGCGGATTTACAGTGTCGGTGATCAGTTCCTGACACAGGCCCCGAGAGATTCAGGTGGCTGCTGCAGACTGTACAGAGCAAGCCACGGTAGCAGTTTGGGAGCACATGATCAGCTTCTCAAGAGCTCGGAGAAATGTGTCATGTCCAGCAACGATGTTTATTCATGTTTGCTTTTTGTGCGATGTTATCCATGTCCCAACATGATAAGTTGGTCATCGAACCGATTGGCATGTGTTTAGCTAGTTCTCAAAGCTACCATTTCCCCTGCCGGCGGAGTTGCTTGGGTCTCTCAGTTGTTTTTGCTTGCAAAACACCATATGGGTTTAAAGACCATGAAGAGTTACTATATATATCACGCGATATGCACACCGTAGTATATCATAATATACCATATTACCAGCACCACCCAAAGGGTTGTTTATAGACCCCCCCTGAAGATCTATTTTCCATCTAATAACAACCCTTTGGGTGGTGCTGGTGTGTATATATATATAGATATTAACTTTGTAGTTATATATATACATATAATACATATGCACATATATATATATATGGAGCTAGCATTTTGGAGCAATTCACTGTCACTTGGCAGTGACAAATGCCGAGCTCCTCTTGATCCCAGCAAGAACGATGGCTTTGAGCAACATGAAGACTTCGAGGTTGAACACATGAACACAAAGCTGAAGGCAACTTGGCATTTGCAGACAAAACCAACCACTACAGATATGACTACCAAACCATTCCAACCCATTGGACTACTGTCATCCATTGTGGTCAATCTGCTCGCCCAACAAACGGAAATTGGCGCTTCAACGCCACGGCACACGGAGCAAATGCTGCATGATGCACCATGAGCCCTGGAGTGGGGGAGCTCAGCTCGCCTGGCTGTTGGGCTCATTGAGTCTGAGTCATCCAGAGATCCTTGTGGCGATTTTGACGGAACTGTTGATCGTGGGCTCATAGATTGGGGCAATATGGTGTGTTCATGTTGCTTTTTTTTGTAAGCGGTATGATTTGTTGGAAACCCAAACATGTGGACTGCACAAGTCACAAGGTCACCTTTCAGTTCCATCAGTTGCCCAGGTGTTGAAAATTGGAAGCTAACCCAGCTAGCTGATCATTGACTATGAACTAGGATGGGTCACAAGATTCACAAGATGTGATAATGACGATGATGATGATGATGAGGAGGAGGAGGAGGATGACGATGAGGATGAGGATGAGGATGAGGAGGATGAGGATGATGATGATGATGATGATGATGATGATGATGATGATGATGATCCTGTTGGTGGTGCTGGTGGTAACGTCAAATATGGTGTGGGGTGGATTTTTTACTTTTTACTAAGTGCTTCACCATGACTTCAGAGTCATCTTGGCGTCCACATGGTGGCCTCTTCGCATAGTACCGCGTGTCCCTCCCCGGCTCCATTTGCAGGACCATCAGTAACGAGGTTCCAGTGAACGCCCAGTCACTCCCCACTCCAAGGTCCATGGTTTTCATATGGTTTCATATGTTTTCACAGGTAGTCACAGGCCTGGTAGTGAGTCAGCGTGAGTGCTAAGCCTCCGCAGCGGCCATGTCTTTGGTTTTGTGCCAAAACATCACTGAAAGGCTAGTGCTGTCTTGGGATTAGACCTTGCTTGTGGGATTAGAGGTGGGGTCTTTGGTTTTGTAAGTGCTTTGCCGGAGAGCTATTCTGACAAGAAGTACTCTTCTGTCAGTCATGTTCTGAGCACCCAGTCTTCTCCGAGGCCGGCGACGCAGGCGTTTTGGGCCTGGTGAAAGCCAAAACCGGTGGGTTGGGTTGAGGGAAACCTGTTGGGATGGTTCAAAAGTTTGCAGGTGGCAGTACTTTGGGGATGAACAGACATATGGGGAAGGAGGTAGGTGAATCCTTTGCGACGCAGCCGCGACATGCTTGGTAGAGAAAACAGAATGAGAATCAATGGAGTGGATCCCTCCAACCGCTGGGTGAACTCATGTCTTTTCGCCGCACCAGAAGCTATGGGACTGGACACCGTGGTGGGGAATACCCAGAGAGGACCCGGACAGAACCGTCCAACACCCGGACGCAAAGTGCAGAAGGGGTGGACCACCCTCGTGTGACCACCTACCCTGCTGGAAAACACACTCACGTGGAGCCTTTAAAGAAAGGGCTACAGTATGTTCCTAGTGATGTTCCTATTGTTTCGGAAGGAACTCCCATGTTGGATTTGAAGGTGCTCCAGGAACTGCTCATGTTTGTATCACCCAGCACGACTCAGGGCAGTCCACTTGAAGAGTCGAGTGACACCATGCGACACCTGGTCAACAACTGGGTCCCTGAGGCCAACACAGCGTGTGAAGTCCGCTTTTCACCACGCTTCACCCTGGAAATTAATATATATAGTTTCATCTTCATGTCTATTCCCAGACACTCCATGTATGTCATACTTGCCTACATTGGGGTGGTTTCGTGGGTCAATGTAGGCACATATTCCAGTCCCGTGGAAGCTTCCGCAAGACGCCCTCCTTCAATGCTGCCAGGCTCCAATCGACCCGCAACTCGGCAAAGTCTCGCAGACATGGTCTGTACCATAGGCATGTCATTCAGCAAAGGGGGGCAAGGGATTTGTTGCGCACTTGTCGACCCGCCAGACAGTATCAGTCCTAATTTGCATCCATTTTGTGTTATTTTTTAGTCCTTAGTTTGTATGTATTACTCCCTTGTTTTTTTCCAAACTGATCATTTGGACCAGCTGGATATGAATGTTCAAGCCGTATTTAGATCCGATCTTCTCCTAAGGCACAAGGCGGTGGCACTGTACGGAGCCCAGTGGCAGCCCAGAATCCAGGTCCTAGCTAGATTCCATACCTTGCTTTCTGTGTTGGGCATGCATAAGCCCCAGAAGACCTTTTGCCACTTGGACCTATACATGGGTTGGATAGGTGAGCTTTAAAAAGCTCTGGACTCACCGGTTGAGATGTCCACTGAGGATGCAGAAGCCAAGCCGGAGCCCCAAAAAGGTTTGGGAGGAGGTGCTTGGTCAGTGGAGATGAGGATAAAGGTGGCCACCATGTGATTCCATGAAGGACGATTGGACCAAATTGATGCTGGATTGATGTGGACCTTGCCTGGTTGAATTATATTCCCACGACCATACCCAAGAGGTCCTTATAAGCATAGATGTTGCATGATGTTGCCCATTGTTCAGCAAAATGTATCCAGAATACTCAGCATTTCAAGATCTTTTCTTGGTGAGGGTAGTGGAGAGGGAGCAGTATCCAGGATGAAGCCACTTTCTTGACACTTGTGACATGACTCGTTGTGCTGGCTCAAAGCTGCTGCCATGCTGGCTGCTCCGCGCCTCGTGAGCACTTCTTGGCCAACCTTCCCAGTGGACACTCGACGGTGAACGACTCGACGGTCCGGAGCTGTTGGCAGCGTTTGTCCATCGTTTTTGTCACCATCGAACCCAACAGGGAACTGATTTGAACCCAGTTAGTAGCACACTTCGAAGAAACGCACACAAATCATGACACATGAAGGACCCCTGGTTTGTATCTTGTGTTTTTAGCATCAAAGCGGTGGTGAAGTGGAGGTCAAATTTGATTTAGTAAAAGACAATGCCAATCCCAAGAGCAAAGAACAATATAAACAAACATAGCACTATAAAAGACAACTCCCAAATACAAAGTGGACTGTGCCTTTTTTCCTGTGCCTTTCTATTTTATTGTGTTGGACTTCTGATTGCCTTTTTGATTGCCTTTTACTTTCTTGTTTAAGCCTTTTGATTTGCCCGTACTGGATTTGCCCGTACTTGTTATATACCTTTTTTCGTGCAACGGTTTCTTCACCTTCCCTTTAAAATCCTCGAATTGGATCCTGTGTGTGTACCAACGTTATTGTTCAATATGTTTCATCACTAGCCCAGGACAACAATAGTCTTTCAGGGGAAGCCAGTGCTCAACGAGCATGTCTTTTCGTTTCTTGCTCCCTTGTGATTGAACAAGACAGGTTCTTCCCAGGTGACCTCATGATTTGGGTCTCCATTACTAGCAGTAACTCCTGGTCAATTGGCATGTCCCCGCAAAAAAGGGGTTAGGATGGACGGGGGTTGAACCTCTCCATGATGTTGAACGTATGAAGGTTTACATCATGACCTTCAAATCGCCTTCACTGGAACCATAGCTGAGCTAATGGCTGAGCTCATATCCGAGCCCGCCTCAGCACCCCTCAGGAACGACTTCCACTGGGGCACGCGCGTCACGCGCAAGCGCCCAGGCTCGATTGCAACCGCGGAGAAGACTCGGTGTACTTTGGGTTGGTCTGTACTTTTAACTTGAACTTTTGGATACTTTAGGTACTTTGCTCATATACTTAAAGTCATACATGGCTGGATGTTTTTCTTTTTGACAAGCTCTTATGCAATATGTTGGGTTTGCTCATGCCGATGGGGTGACGTATTCAGTATGCCTACTGCTGCACACAGTTTGTTTTCTTTTGATTTTGTTTGCTTCAAAAGACCGGAACAACAGTAAGTGCTCTGTACAGACTCATAAATTGTGCAAACTGCGTTTTGTTTGTTCGTTTTTGTGATGCCGCCCCAGACAATTGAGCCCAATTGTAACGCCTGACAATAAAGAAACATCATGGATATTCCAATGCCTATTCTCCTGGAAATATAATGAATTGTACAATATTGTACATGGATATTGGATATTGTATGATATTGTACAACATGCTCGTGAATCGCTAGATGATCTCCTTCCTGTCATGGTAAGAAACCACATGTAGGGACCGCCCTGACTGGCCACTTCAGGAACCTTGGGCAGCGACACGCTGCCCTGGTGGGTACTGCTCTAGCCGCAAGCTTAGGGGGGAGCACCGTAGTTGAGCCTGAAGAGGCCCAGCTGGAAAGGAAGAAATCGTCTTTGTACAATGCCACTTCTTTGGCGTGTTTGTGGCGTTATATTTTGTGGATTGATCTGTATTACTGAAAAATAATCCAAGACCTTGGTGTTTTACCCGTGTCATGCACAACATGCCCGGAGTGCTTCATTTTCAGAAGTTGGAGGGCCTCTCATCTTGGACCCCGGACTTCTTCTCACTGACTTCTTCAGGTGGGAGCCGCCGCCAGCTCCCGCAAGCCTCGGCCCAAGGGGGGCCATGGGCTATGCAGGCGAAGAAAGAAAGAAGGACCTCACTTCCACGACCCATGTGGGTTTGGGCAGAAGCCAGGTGGTTTTCCTCTAGAAACCGGTGGTTAGTTTGCAGGGAGGATATTAGTCTTCAGGCAAGCAAGCTTGGCCCTCATCCGCAAAAGCCCATTGGCCAAGCATCCTCAAAGAGCCTGGGAGTCAAAGACGGTACGGAGAACGTTAGGACATCCTCCAACCAACTTAAGGGCATGTCAAGGAGGTGTTTGGACGACGATTTGTTCTGTTCTTTTTTACCAGGTGGTTGCCTTTAGAGGAGAAACATGTTGAAGCAATGCTATGGCATGAAAGTTCTACCACGTTGGCAGCAAGTCTATGAATCTACAATAATGTATTGCAAGATACCACATGAAGGCGCCAGTTCTGCATCACAGGCACCACCTGCATGAAGGCGGCGCCCAGTTGGGAAGGACGGGCGAGTTCACGGCGGAACTTTTGAGCGGGAAGCGGCGAGGAACCGGACGTGGCAGGCTGTTTGAGATGTTTTGAGCACCCTTTGACCCTTTGGGTTATTCATGTATATAGCAGCCTAACATAAAAACAGTTTGTTCAGGAATTCATTTACAGTGTGCCCAACATTTAGATACTATTTCGGAGGGATGAACACATTTAGTCACAGCAATCATGTGCATCCCAGCCTATTCAGACTTCACCTGAACAGTGCTCACTGCACTCCCTCAACATTGCCAACATCGGGAGAGCCTCTCCCCACACAATCAAGAACCAGGTAGGAAGCAGGCCGATGGAGCGTCCGGACCAACATTTGGAATTGTCCATTTACAACATTGAAATTGGATCAAGGCCGCCGGTTTTGGGCGCCTGTCTGCGGAACACACCGTTCAACCTTGCAAAGCTGGCCAAACTGACTCACTAGTTGCAAGGCACACCGACTCATCTTCGCTTGATCGAACCAGTTCTTCACTCGGCAACACATGAATACTGCAGGCCACATCTGCTGGTGTTGCACGCTGTTCACTAACATGGCTTTGCAGTGTTTCCTTCTCTGACTGCGAGCAAAGGCCGTTCAGCGTGTCAACCAAAGCCATCCAAATTCCGATTTGCAATCTGCATGATACTCAGATGTTGATTTCATCAAATGTTGAACCAGAATAATTAGTGTGCCCAAACACCGGGAGATCTCGCCGACTGCACAGTGCGACCAGGCAACAACTATAATTAGTCACTAGAGATATGTGTTTTTCATTCTTCTTGTTCTTGACCGCCAACGTCGCCGAAAAAGACAACATATGTGTCTGCTTGGAAAGGGTGGTGAACCAACTCAATGTCCCACAATCATTTGTCCACACTGGTATTGTTGACCAACAGTGGCTGCAGCGCATGTCTTGAGGCGTTGAGCCCAACAAAATACGACTGACAATGACTGCCATTATCTGAAAAAGTTACCATTGAACAAATCTAGCTGCTAGCTCATCTTGCCCAAATCAAGCTGCATCTTGCCACTAGAACATGTTAGGGGTCATGAGTAGCCAAATTCCATTCAGGGTGGTATGCTTCAAGGAACAGCAGATGGCATCTCCATGCTGCATGGTGCTAGAGGGTGAACATCAGCGTACTGGTGCCCGTCACACACACGCACACACGAGCCACACAAGCTAGCGGAATTGAGTGAGGACAACCTTTGAAGACAGAATAACAAAAGGAACGTCAGTTAGCACGACAAGCAAGCACAAACATGCGGAGAACATAACAACAAATAACAATGCACAAGTACATAAGGCAACGTTTTGTGGGGTGTAGATGATGCATACTGCTCCTTCGCGAACCTTTCAGAGCAGATATCCGGCAGATAGCAAGTAACTGACAATCATGCAAAGAGCAGGATTGTAGAGATTCGTGTAGTTAGAGCCAGGATGCAAAAAAAATTGCTGAGAGGGATCCTGACATATTTACAGACCCGTATTAGGAAGCTGTTGACTATTCTCTTCAGGCAAAAGAAACCTCGGGCATTGGAAACCGCACGTTGCAGTACTTCCAACACATTTCATTATTGTAATTATAGTACATTGTGATACATTGGGGGCTTTGGTTGAGCATGTTCATAATCTCCAGGTGGGTTGAGTGGAGAGATTTTGCCAAGATCCACAGAAACGGAATCCAATCAACTCAGAGAGACCTATAGTGTCCTATGATTAATCCGTTCAAACACAAATCTCTTATGCCACCTTTCGTCCACAATACATGTTTCCGAGGAATAGTTTACAACATACAATCAATATGCAAAAGGGTGGTGTTCTCCATGCGTTTTTTGGAGTGTTTCCAGCTCCAGGATTGGCCACAGAAGCGCGGGGGACCGATGCAGGTCGGAGGGGGCCGAGTGGGCGTGGGACATGAGACACGAAGAGATCCCAGATGACAGAGGTGTATTCAGCAACCCCACAGATCTCATTCCCGGCTCTAATTGCAACGCCAAGATCATTTTTTGCAGACGAATGATATTTGACTTTGACATACTTTGACTTTGTATTAGACTTGCATTTAAGAAGTGTTATGTATAGAATGCAACGGTTGATATCGATATGGCCGCCAGGTTGCTCTTCCGGATCGGCTTGCCAACGGTCGCCTCCGACCTCCCGTCCGAGGCCAGGAGGTGCTCCAGCACTGGGCGGATCGTGCCGAGGGCATCGTCCCGCATACCGATGCCAAGGACCGGGTCGGTCTCGGGTCGAGAGGAGACATGAGGCGACTGGAGCAGACCTGAATGGATTGAGCCTTAAAGGGCTGCAAGGGTGCCAGGGGGGCCTAACGGTCTAACCACCTTCTGAGGATTCA